ATTTTAATAACAACCATTGCTTGCATACAAAGTGCTGTACGTGGATTTAAAATCAGCCATACAAGTGTAGAAGTGTTTTTCATGCCAATATTTACTGTGATTATGACTTTACTGCTGCGTTGGCAGAGGTTAGTTATTGACAATAGCATGTTGCTATGGATTATGTTGGTATCTTACAAACTGAACTCACATTGTAAACTGAGGACCCCCTGTACTTTTTTTCTTTTTTGTTGTCTCAAGTGTCCATTCAGAAAGATTTTTATTCCTATCACGTGCTTTCATCATCTTTACCTTTTGTTTCTCTAATAAGAAACAGTACCACTTCCAAACGACGACGTTGAGTGGTGGTCAAAACACGTCTCTCTCACTAAGCTGCTTGTGTTTGCAGACGCTGTGCCACGCTTCCTGAGGCTGCTTCACTCCCCTCATCAAAACGTGTGCGAGCAGGCGGTGTGGGCTTTGGGCAACATCATTGGTGCGCAGTCGCCGACAGGAGTAACTTTGCCATGGGATACAAGGTCAATCTGACACGTGTACGCATCTCCTCGTCAGGTGACGGCCCACAATGCAGAGACTACGTGATCGGCCTGGGCGTTGTCAAGCCGCTGCTGTCTTTCATCAGTCCCTCCATCCCAATCACCTTCCTCCGCAATGTCACCTGGGTTATGGTCAATCTCTGCCGGCATAAAGACCCTCCACCTCCCATGGAGACCATCCAAGAGGTTTGAGAAATCTTTTGACACCAATTTGAAATTTTCTCATTACTAGTGCAATTGCCTGTGCCTTTTGGTGATGCAAAACAAAATTCTCAATTATACACAACTGAAAATATTTTGTTTTCAACAAATAACTGTCATCCCAACAGTAATTTTGGCTCAGGCTTTGCTTCTTGTCTCTGTTCTTATGTGGCTTTTCTCTTTCCACATTCCAAAACTGGCATGTTGCGTTCATTCATGGCTCTTTAAGTTGTCTGTGAGTGATTGTGAAGGGTTGTTTGTCTATACATGCCCTCGCCTGGGAGGAGAGAAGTCCAGGGTGAACAAGGTCTTTTGCTCTATGTCAGTTGGGACAGATTTCGGAGTATCCTAATGAGGAAAAACTGGATAGAAAATTGATGGATGGACTTCTGTAGGACACCCCAAGACATTAATTTAAAATTTTGTACCTAGCCAGTTCCAACTGTGTCAAAGCAGCGGACAAGGAAAATTGTTTGTCTGTATTTCAGTATTTGTGGATAATGTAGACTTAAGTAACGTTGAGCTCATAGTCCAGGTCCTATTTATTGAATATGAATTCTTAATCTTGATTGACATAACTTTTAAAGCATTACATTTAGCATCCTTATACCCAAAAATACAATATTATCTGAAAATGCAGATCAGGAAGTTCTCAGCATTTCATTTCGAACAAGTCTCGCAGAAATGTTTTCCCCATTTGAGCACCTCCATAATTTACATTTTTAATCCATAGATCCTGCCAGCTCTGCGTGTGCTGATCCACCACACTGACGTTAGTGTGAGTAAACTCTTGTGTTTGACTGTTGGAGGAAGTCTTACTGCAAGGCAATGAAGTTCAACATTTCACCCCCCCTACACACACTGCTTCCAGATCTTGGTAGACACGGTGTGGGCTCTGTCCTATCTGACGGACGCTGGGAACGAGCAGATCCAAATGGTGATTGACTCTGGCATTGTCCCTCACCTGGTCCCACTGCTCAGCCACCAGGAGGTCAAAGTCCAGGTAAGGGAAAGACTATCCAGAAGTGCAATTTGGTAAGCTTTTCACGACGCCAATGTAATTCTGCCACACAGGTGCGGTGTAAACATAAGTATATACTGTGCTACAGTATACTGTAAAGATACCAACTCAATTGCAGATTACATCAAAAATATAATCAAATTAGTAGCAAAGCTACTTGTGACAGATCACTTTGTGTCATGAAACATGAGACAATATGTCAACGAAACGTGGCTTGCACTTAAATCACTCACTCAACTTAGCATATAAACGGATCAATAAAACGTACCTGTATAAAATGAAATCTTACTCGGATCTCTAGTTTGTAACATAACACAACCGGTAGGAAAAGTAAGATAATGCCTACTTATGACGTGATATCACGTGCCAGTGGGCATTAACACTCGGCGGTGCCTCATTATTAAACATATTTTCGACTTTCTTTCGGTTCAAAAGTTACGGCTGAATTCATCCTCTTAATATTTGACCGCCTGACACCTCTGCACGGATGCGTTTTTATTTGCCATGGATCAAGTAGCCGCACGCTCATCGTCTCCGGTGCGTGTGCTCAAACTTCGGAGATACGTAAATCAATGTCAACTCTTACAACGGCGGCACACATCTGACAGCCATCAGACAGTTCCTCACTCACGTGCTCCAACATACGACAGCAGCCAAAACATCACAAAATAGACAACACAAGACTGAGTTTGTATCCCCTGCCCCCCTGCACATGGGAAGATTTAACCATGCCAAGTGAAAAGCATCAAGGATGTTAGAAATCTGAAAGCTAACACGGCAGCGTTCTGTGAACCCCCCGCTGTCAACAAAGTAATGAGCGTTTAAACCGCAGCCTCTGCGATCGCGCCTTCCCAAAACGCATTTATTTTGCAAATGCAATTAATTGTTCAGCCCTAGCATTAATGACATTATACCCTTTCATGCAGACCGCTGCCTTGAGGGCCGTGGGCAACATTGTGACTGGAACAGATGAGCAGACGCAGGTGGTGCTGAACTGCGAAGCCCTCAACCACTTTCCCGCCCTCCTGTCGCACCCAAAGGAGAAAATTAACAAGGTGACACACACATGCACACGTCTGGCTGCGTTCTACAGCATGACGTCGCTGGAAGTGATGACATCTGAGACATGTGCTAGTGCGAAAGGGTTTGGTGGGTGAAATTGAGATTATTAGAGTCAGATTACACATCACACAGAAAACTGCGACGACGACGATGAGGACCACAGCCTACTGCAGTTGTAGTTGGTTAAGCACCGGTAGAAGGGGGATCGTAATTGGTGTGTGTGTGCGCGCGTGTGTGTGTTGGTGACTGATTGTGTAACTCAGTTAAAAGGGTCGGTGGCAAGAGTGCTGAGAATCAGCCCTGCTGATATCGGAGTGCATCTGAGACCTGTCACTTTGAAATAGAGAGGCACATCTTGTGTGGTTTGTGACACGGACGATGATTAGAGCCTCAACGCCGCTCTCGCCCCACCCACAGCACGCAAGTCTCTGCCAGACATCCACTCTTTATGTGGATGTCTGGATTCTGATCCAGCCCAGACGCACTGTAGATCGAGTGACGCAATTGTTAAATGTTCGAATGCCGGGATCCTTCGCTTACAAGTCTCAACAGCATGCACTGAGCTAGTTCCAGCAACAGTGTGAATACGCGTGGTCATGTGGCACAAGACACACTTAGTTTTGAATCCTTGTTGAGCAGTTCATTTTCAATTTGGCAGGAGGGTGGATTAAGTTTGTTTTTTTGTTTGTTTTTAATTACCAGTCCCTTGTTTTATTTTTGCATTCCAATTGAAAATAGAACTATTGATGCACTGGTTTGCCATTCTTTCTGTTTTCACATTTGACTGTATTACAGTGCTGCCACAGGAACAGTCCGCGGTAAACCGAGGGCACCTTGCATGCGTTTTGAAAATATTGTACAGTATTTTTCTGTGGGCAGACCTAACTCCTGTATTTTTGCCCTTTGTTCTGTAGGAGGCAGTGTGGTTCCTGTCAAACATCACAGCAGGAAATCAACAGCAGGTGCAGGCGGTCATTGACGCAAAGCTAGTCCCAATGATCATTCACCTTCTGGACAAGGTAAACACCTGTCATTGTTTGAGGAATTAAAAAAAAAAAAAAACACGGCACAAACCATTGGAAATTGAAAAAAAAATGTTTACTTGGTATGTCATTTTAGGGTGACTTTGGAACCCAAAAAGAAGCAGCCTGGGCCATCAGCAACCTTACAATAAGTGGGAGGAAAGATCAGGTACAAACCATTTTTGGGCCTTATACAAGGTTCTTCTTCTCTTTATGCTGAAGGACAATATAGTTAAACAATCTCAACTTAATATTCTGACTTGTGGTGCATTTAGGTGGCACATCTGATCGATAAGCAGGTCATCCCTCCATTCTGCAACCTGCTCACGGTGAAGGATGCCCAAGTGGTGCAGGTGGTCCTGGACGGCCTCAGCAATATCCTGAAAATGGCTGACGACAAGGCTGAAACCATTGCTAATCTCATTGAAGAGTGTGGCGGTGGGCTCCACTTGCATCAGGACATGAAGCTGTCCTTATTTTATTTGATGAGTTTGGTTCATATCGGATTTTTCTGTGCAGGTTTGGAGAAAGTGGAACAGCTGCAGAACCACGAAAATGGCGATATCTACAAGCTAGCATATCAAATTATTGATCAGTTCTTCTCATCTGATGTAAGTTGAAGGCTCTGACCACACTTACTTGTTTGGTGTTAAACATCATTGTGGAATACCTTTACACACAGGCGGCACACCAAGTCTTACTACTACTTCCTCTCTTTTTTTTTCCTCTCTTTATGGCGCAAGTGTCACGATTCGTTTTTTTTTTTTTTTTTTTTTTTTTTTTCCCCCCCCCCCCCTTTTTGCAAATATGCACGTATTTAGTCACTTGATATTCACTCTTTCTCTGTGTGACTCAGATTGACGAAGACAACAGCCTGGTGCCCGAAGCCATCCAGGGTGGAACTTACGGCTTCAACTCCGCCAACGTGCCAGCTGAGGGATTCCAGTTCTAGACGGCATCCGGGGTATTCTGGAGTTTTGTTCACGATGCAGCACTCTGTTCAACATAAACAAAATTAGGCGAGAGAAAGAGAGCGAGAGCGAGAGTGTGAGAAATTTGATCCATTGTGCTTGGCTCGTGGGATCCATGGCTGCATCTTATCTGAGAGAGAAAAATGTGTGGATTTCATTTGGCATTCCCGGGGGAAAGCAGCCCAAATGAAGTTTGAGTTGGCGAGTGGGTGCGAGTGAGAATGAGTGGCTACATGTTGCAACAAAAAAGAAAAAAAACAAAAACATGACAAAAGAAATCAAAACCACCTACATCGTAACGTGTTTCGACATGGTGACACGACAACCTCTGTAACTGAAGCGACGACTTCGACATCCGCCCGCGGATAAACCAACAACACGACGACGAACTCTTAATTATGAAAGGAGCAATCATCACAATTCGAGAGGGCGCCACCGTCCCCCGATCGGCCACGCTATCAGACATGTGTGTGAATGGAGCCATTGCGTATGAATGTCTGGACTCAGCGCTGAGGAGCCAGGTTCATCTCCTTCCCAACAGGACGTCGAGACGGGACACCCTCCTCCTCTCCTCCCCCGGGGGGGACGGGGCCAGGAGTCCGGCTGCGTGTCACGTGTGTGAGCGAGCGAGCGAATGGTCGGATGGGTTGTGTGTGCGTGACTGGAAGTGTGCGAGGACGCATGCGGGAGACGGCAATGAGATTACAAATGCGACATCCTGAGCGAAAGAAACGCTGCGAGGTTTAGACAAGGAGAAAAATTCAGCCTTTGAGGCTGATCTTGAAATCCCTGAAACTAAGAACTTTGGATACGGGAAGAAGAAACAAACAAAAAAAAAACATCAGTGCAAGGATTTTTTTGTTTTGTTTTCAGTTACTATTAATTTGCTATTAATTGACACTGGACATTGCTAATGGCAGATGCACAAAGGCCATGCATTCTATTATGAAGATGCTTTGGGGGCTTGTCTTTTTGCCTCTAGCGTCTTCCTTTGTGCGTGTTTATTTTTTCTCCCCCCACCCTCCGACGGCTTCTGTAAAGGCGAGCATCGCAACGCACCCTCCCATCACAACCCCAAAGCTATGCCACCACATACAGGCTTGATGCTGTGAAATTGTTGATGTTGAAATAATTGGTTACATTTTAATTGAAGTCCAGCAAAACCACTGCTTTGCAGGTTTGTCGCCATAGCTTTGATTTATCATGAAAGGGAAAAGTGAACATGGGCCATTTTCACATCGGATTGTGAATCTCATAACCCTTGCATGTACCCACTCAATGATGGCACAGTTCCTTTTTTAGGATCTTTTCAGTTTCCTTAGACTGTGGATACAGTGTCATTTTTATTTTAAGTAAACTGTGCTTAAATGTTACACGTTTGCCCTTCCCTTTACCCTATCACCTCCCGCCCTCCCCATGTCACTTGTTAAATAATTTGTATGGTTTTGCACATGTACTGCAAAGTGAGGCCTCTTTGTGACGATTGGTTGGTCTGACCTGCCAGTAGCCTCGACAATATGCATCACGTTGACCACAATCTTTGTATTTCAAGAGTCATCCCAGGAAGGTTTTTTTTTTTTTTTTTTTTTTAAACGTGGTCATTGAAGAAAATAATTTTATTTCTGGAGAATTACCGATATCTCAGACTGAGGCAGTCTGACATCATGCTTTTTTCCCCTTTTCTCTTCAAGGTCCAAAAGGTGTCCAACTGTAATTCAGTGGAACCATTAAACAAATCTTGAACACTATTTGCAGTATCTTTAGTATATTTGGGAGTCATTTAGCCCCATCATATTTCCTCCTAGCTAAATGTACAAACTTAACTCATCCAATTCTTGTCTTCAACTCGAGCCACTGTAATAAGAAAAATTACATTTTGTGATCATGAAATTTCTGTTGGACATGGCGGGGGGGTATTTTTTTTTCCCCCCTCAGCATTCCTCATTAGCTGAGACGTGATTTCAAATTTACAAATTAAAAACTATGACACTGAAGGTAAGGTGGTTAACACAAATGTTTTGGGGGAGATAGGCTACAGCTTAGGTTGTCTGGGAAAAAAAATAAAAATAAATAGTGAACCCCACAGTGTGAGACTATTTGTGTGTTCTTTCGAACTTCTGGTGGAAAAATACTGACTCGCTTCAGCCGTTAATATCTCAGCTGATGTTCAAATTTGGACTGCCAGAAGCCTGATTGGTTGAAACCCGCGCGTGCGCACCGAAGGAAAGACGCTGCGTTTTCCGATGTCTCATATTTGAAACATCAACACATGCTGCGTTTTCTGTTACTGAAAGTTAGAAACATTGTCAGCACCTTAAGTTACCACACGTAAAAACACACACACGAATTACATCGAGTCTTGATTTTGGGAGGAGAAAAATTTTCCTAATACAGTAACTTGAATGCAACGCAAAACCAACCGGAAATAGTAAAAAAAAAAGACTTTGGAAACAAACACCGAACTTGGAGCTGAAGGTAAGTTTGTAATTAAAGATATATGAGTTAACTTGTCCGCAGCAAATTTAGGGTAAATTGCGTGCGTGGCAAACAAGTGATAGCTGAACACACAATACAAAAAGGTCTTGCTAACGTTTTGCGGACAATGCTAAAACAAACGTACAACCTCACAGCTGTAAAAGGGCTGTCACTAATAACACGTTTTTCTACCTTGTGTACTCAAACCGCTACACGGTTTCCTCATTTACCCAAGTCATGGTGTGATGACCCCAACTGAAGGAGACAGCTAATGTAACAAACTGCTTTGCACTTCATCGTCTCTGCTAGTGTTACACAGAGGAAAGGCTTTTTAATTTTTATTTTTTTATTTTTAATAAATCTGTATAGCGGTAATCTGATTTGAAAGCCTGCAGTACATTCAGCTTTCTCTTGTTTTTCTTTGATAGTCTTACTTTATTCATTGATTCAGAGACCCAATTATTTGTCCACAAACTATTAAAACGCCTTTCCATAATATGTCCCATTTTTAACTATTTCTAATCACAATGTATAAACTTTGTTGCTGATACTATCCAATAGTGTGCTGCAGCGGAACCCAGCCGCTGGGGGGCAGTGCCCTCCCCTGGGGGTGCACTGTTCCCCAGTGCCGGTCCCAAGCCCGGAGAAATGGGGAGGGTTGCGTCAGGAATGGCATCCGGCGTAAAACTTTTGCCAAGACGACCATGCGAGTTGGTAGGACGGTTTACAGGGGCGGATGGAAATTACTGACTCGCTGTGGCGACCCCTGAATAGGGACGTGCCGTAAGGAGAAGAAGAAGAAGTGTGCTGCAGCGGGATTGGACAACCGCAATGAAAAAAAAATTGGCATGGAGTACTGATACCAGGTTTCAGCAGGGGGCTGATACGGCCTCATTTTATAGTATTGGGTACTTATGAAGGTTGCTGATACCAGTCATCGATACTTAGGGGAAAAAAAAAATCTGACATTCAAAAAAGTCACCCTTGTCAGTTAATGGCACTATACTGCGGCGGTTTGACGCATCAGCGAATCATCATGTGGGTCAGAAAGAAAGAAAGAAACTTTCCTGTCATTCTTTTAACAGATATCAAAATTGTGTAACAGTGATATCGGTGAATTTTCAAGTTATTACTACACTCGTACTGGTATGGCGCTGAAAAAAAAATTATATGCAACATCCTTAGTATTGACAGATGGTGTCAGCCATTTTGAGTCTGTGCTTGGATTGGATGTGATTGAGAAGGTGTATCTGATGTCTTGTCATCGCTTCTCCCTTCAGTCTCCACCATGGACAACCTGGAGGAGGATCTGACGTGCTCCGTGTGCTACTCTCTGTTCTCTGACCCACGGGTTCTGCCGTGCTCGCACACATTCTGCCGGGGCTGCCTGGACAGCTTGCTCCACGCCTCGCACAACTACTCCATATGGCGCCCGCTGCGCCAGCCGCTCAAATGCCCCAACTGCCGCAGCATGGTGGAGCTGCCCGTGGCGGGCGTAGACGCGCTGCCCACCAACGTGTGCCTGCGCGCCATCGTCGAGAAGGTAGTGTTGAACCCCTGAATGTTCCTCCTCCTAACTTCTGACGGACGTGTCGTATGTCTGTTTTAGTACCAACGGGACGGCGAGCCCAGACCATCTTTGTGTCTGGAGCACCCGAGGCAACCCCTCAACATGTACTGTGTCCAGGACCGCAAGCTAATCTGCGGCCTGTGTCTGACCATGGGCCAGCACCAGGGCCACGCCATCGATGACCTGCAAGCGGCGTTTGATCGAGAGAAGCAGACCCCTTCGCTCTTGCTGGCACGGCTCTCTGAGCACAGATGGGCACAGGTGAAGGGAATAACCAGTCCTGATAGATGCGACAGAAAATGTCTTACCATTTTGTGTGTGTGTGTGTGTGTGTGTGTGTGTGTGTGTGTGTGTGTGTGTGTGTGTATTAGGTGTGTGAGCTGGGTGAGCAGCTGGAACAGGACAAGGCCCACTGCGAGGCTGCGGTGAGGCAGGACCGACAAGAAGTAACTCAGTTTTTCCACATGCTGGAGACTGCGCTGGCCAGGAAGAAACAAGCCTACTTGGAGGTTCTGGACAAAGCCTTCGATGAGGTTTCGCGGGCGTATGACCCACTCATCCACAAAGTCAAGGAGCTGCAGGTGCGTAACCCAACCCGTTCTCCGATGGCCTTTTGCAGTCGAGGGGGCGACAGTGAATGGATTAATCATCAATTAATCGATCATCAAACAAATCAATTACTGTTTTGATATGGATGCATCACTTTGAGACATGAACTCATTGTCCAAATCATCAGAATTTCAGACTCTCGACAGTAAAGCTTCTCAAATTTCTGAAGTCCTGCATCGAAGCAGGCCGATTTATTTATTTATTTAAAATTCAAAATAAGACATTTGCGTTTACTTTGTGAAACAATGATTGGCATTTTTGCCTATTCTCTTACACTTGGCAGATCAATACAGTCACCCCCGTTTTTTGTGGAAAATGCACATTGTAGGTTTAGCAGCATTTGAAGAATTTTTGGGGGGCTCCGCCCCCCCAAAAAAAAAAAATCCACCCAATTTTCTTATTGTATTTCAATGGGTATCACTTGCACACACATTTTGCTATTAATGGGCCAGCATGTATTTTGTCCAAATTTAAAATGGCTTTTTTTGGGGGGGCGGTAGGGGGTCGTCTTAGATCTTGTCAGAAAGTGCACAGTCCTATGTGGACCACACCCACACCCAGAAGCGCTCATGGAAAAATTATGGGATGCTTCAGTTGGCCATGCCTGCGCTGTACTATGTTTGTCACTTAGTATGGCTGGCATAGATGGAGGAGCATTCATCTGTAACGAAGTCATTTCACGTTTGCTTCTTGTCAAGTGGGTTTAGAGTTGTACAGAGCCAATTTGTGTGGAAGTTGGAACATCCCGTCGTTTATACGTCAAGGCCTAATTGCAGTAAATATTTGTATGAAAATAGAATATGAAACAATCAGTGGCAACCTTCTCGTGCCATGTGGTGTCCCTTTATTCCAGCGCAGTTCAGACTAGTTCATTGTTTTCATAACGTCATGTCAGGACCGTATGCAGAGGACCCCCTGTATGTGGTTCCCTTGGAAATTTGGCCACTTTTTAGTTTGCTGAACGCCTGAGAGGACAAATGAAGGAAAAAGGGCTGTGACTGTTGGTATGGTTCAGGAGGAGCACTTGGATCTGCTTTCTTTGGCGGCATCCGTTGAGGAGGAGGATTCGCCGCTAGTCTTCCTGGAGAAGGTTCACGTGTTCAGAGAGCGAGTGGACGACTTCACCGGTGCCAGTCTGCCGTCTGCCCTCAAAATCTCGGTCACTCCCCGAGCGGTCGACTACCTGCATCAGCATTGGGCCGCCGTCACTCTCAGCAGTCTGGACGAGGCACCGGTTCCCAAGGTACGCTGCTGCCACCAGTGCGGCGGCATGGCGGCAGACCCTCGCGGCGGACCGGCACACGGCAACTGTTGGCTCCGAGGAAGACTGCTTTTGCCATTGTTGTCACTTTTGCTGGTGGCGACGCTGTGTTGGCTCAGCGTGTTCAGCCGAGACCTGAGAGGAGAGCTCTTCATGCCCATCTGGGACTGGGTGCAACTGGCATACGCTCTGACACAGGCACTGGTACTAAAATGGTGCAGTCACGTTTTCTCTACAGGAGAAATGTTCTTGCAACAAATGACTGCCTTCTTCACAAGTCTGATGGCACCGCTCAACCTCAGTCTGTTATTTAAATGTTGATTTGTGATTCATTTTATGTCGCAAAGAATGCCTTTGTACATTATTAGTAGCTTTAACGACCGTGCATTACACTCTTTAATGCTATTTTTTAAAATGTCATCCTTACCGAGAACTGCTTGTAAAATCTGTTTATTTGGCAAATTTGTAACTTTTTAATGTTGGACAATAAACTTTTTATATTATGCTCATTCTCACTTGGGTTGCATGTGAGCTGGATCCTATCCAGGATTCCTGCAGTTTAGGCAAGGCAAATACAGGTTATTTGATACATTTTTGTCAGTGAAAGAGATCTCATAAACCCTAATAATCTGGTTTAATTTGTTATTGTTTAAGTGTATCAGTAACCAAGAAATAATCAGTTTCAAAGCCCCGATGAAGAATCTTCAATATCTCTCACCATGAGTCTTTTTGCAATACAGGAGGAAGCCTGGAGAAAACTTAATGGGCGCCTGAACTGAGATTTGAACCCACACCCTCATGACTTCAGGCGTACAGTGAAGTTTTTTTCCCTCAGCCAAGTCACTTTTGCAAGAAAGATTGAAAATCCAAAAAAAATTTAACCCAGTTAGGTAAAGGTTAAAAAAAAAACGTAATTGTGCCAGTGTATAATTGATAAGGACGTCTTCCACTGAAGGGCGAACAATTGGCGACTGTTGGCAATGGTAGAAAAACACGTTAACGTCAGGGTTAAAGGCCGCAAATATTTGCAAAACGTTCAACAGTTCGTTCTTTTTTTTCTTGTCGCAAGGAAATTTTGAACATGTTCAAAATACCTTTGGGACAAGAAACGTACAGACTAAGGTCTAACGAGCGCCCTGGCAACCGTTCGGCGAACACATGCGACCTTGAACGATTCCTGACTGATGTAATGTCAAGTGATGTCCCACAGAGTTGCATGTGAATTGAAATTTCTTTATTTAATCTTGATTTCCCAAGCGTATAAAATAGCAGCACCTCATCGTACAGGACAAAATATTTACAAGTGAGCAGACAGGAAAGTGGCGCCTGAAGTGAGAATTCTAGGCGGTGGCGGCGTCGATGTCTTGGAACACGATGGTCTTGGGGTTGATCGCGACACTCTTGGTGGTGTTGTGCGTCTTGTAGATGCCGATGAGGCGGTCGGCGATCTCGAACATGTTGTTCCTCAGCGAGATGATGATGAACTGAGCGTTCTTGGTTTGCTCCTGCGGGCGGACGGATGCAAAAACCGAGCTGTGGTGAACGTGGTGCTTGCAAGGTCTGTTAAAAATTAAATAAATGCCACTCACATAGATGTAACACGCCACAATGGAGACATTCTTGAAGTCCAAGGCCGCGTCAATCTCATCCATGAAGTAGAGTGGCGTGGGTTTGTAGTGGTGCAGGGCGAACACCAGCGCCAGGGAGCTGAGGGTCTTCTCTCCTCCCGACAGGTTGAAGATCTTTTTCCAGCTTTTCCTTGGAGGTCGCACGCTACGCACGCACACACACACACACACACACACACTTAAAGTCGATGCTGACCCAAAGAGGCGATGCAATAACACAAATGACACCCACCTGAACATGATCCCCTCAGAGAAGGGGTCCAGGCTGTCCACCAGCTCCAGCTCGGCGTCGCCCCCAAGTGTTAGCATTTGGTAGTTCTCCTTCAGCTTGCTGGTGATCATGTTGAAGCCGCTCATGAACTCGCCGAGGCGCTGCTTGCACAGGTTCTCATAGCCGCGTTTGAAATTGTCCCGCTGGTTGGTGATCTCATCTAGTTGGGCCACGCGCTGCAGGTACTGCTCCTCCTGTGAGCAGCCGCCACAAAACATCAGATCAAGCTAACATGCCGTTTTCGGCCATGCTTTCCAGGGTCATGCCGAGCTGATTTCAGACGAGTCGGTGGTCAATCACGGGGCTGTTTGTGGATTGAGTAATCTACTGCTGCCTTGAAGTGAAGGACTTCACCACGGGTTCCTCAGGTCATGAAGGTGTCGACATCAAGATTTAGAGGTAATGAACGGCTCGTAATGAAGTAGTGTACTTTGTGCAAAGGGGTAACAAGACCTCGTCACAAATAGGGCTGAACAATTCACCGAGTTAAAATCAACGTAATGAACTAGAGTGCAATTTTTAGAGTGCTGCCATTCGGGGCACGAGTCAGCAGCAAAATGGAATCATAGTTGGCTTTACGTGTCCCGAAATAAGTTTTTGACACTGATTCTTTTTAACTCCAGCACATCTAGTTTTTGCGATATTTTCATTTTGGGTTTTTACGTTTAACCAATAAAAGCACGCAATATGGATTTCACCATGCATTGTAATTGAAAAATCGAAGTTACAGAATTTTTTTTTTTTTTTGCTGACCCAAACCTTTAATTCATAACTATTCCTATACATACACAGGTAATCCTCGATTTAGAGACATACCGGTCCTAAATCGAATTGTTTGTAAATTGAGACACACCAAATTTATTTTTAAATTCTATTTTAGGTTTTAAATAAATAAATGAATAAAATAAAAGACGCGGACGGTACGGACCATTTTTCATTTGGTTGTTTTCTATTGATAGCCGCATTTTTTTTTTTCTCCATACAAATAGTTACTGTCATTCTGAAGTCACCACTGTAGGTTCGTGATAAGACTCTGATGCATTGCGACTTACACAAAAATGTGGGACTCTTGTGGTAAACTGAGGACCCCCACTGTACTTGCTGCAACAGGCCTCGCTCAAGTGGTGCCTCGAGATGCAAGTCTTACGAGTATTATTAATTATCGAGGAGATACAAGCAAACATTTGAGATACACTACGAGTGTGCTTCCAACCCCACCGCTAGATGGCGGCAGTAAACTTCACAATGTTTGGCCACAACCAATCAGCATTGGTTTCCACAGCAGAAGCTGCCAAAATGGCAACAGATGCAATTGCGAAATAAGAGAGTTATGAATGTCTCCCTTTGTCGTTGGGACAAATTACACCAGTAAATCTTTCCGTCTTCTCGCTCGTACCTTCTTCTGATACTCTGCGATGGCGCCCAGGTTGGGCTTCATTTGGGCACACTTGGTCTCCAAGGTGATCATCTTGCTGCTGATGATGTTGGGGTCTGCGATTTCGTCGAGTTGCTCGGTCGTGAGGACGGGTAGCTCCTCGTCCGGCGTACCCTCCACGGCGTGCAGGGACAGCTTTGAGGCCTGGGGGACGGTCCGGCAGCCGTTAGTGTGTTACGGCCAGCGTGGATTCCGCCGTGCTGAGGCGGGCGCCCACCTCCTTCTGCCAGTGTTTGATCTTGTGCTTGTGTTCGCTGACGGCGGCCTCCATCTGCTCCACGCGCAGCCGCACGCTCAGCGACTCCTCCTGTAGGGCGTGATCCTGCTGCTGTAAGACATTGATCTCCTTCATCACGGTCTGGTACTGCTCCTGCACCTCAGGGAGCGCCGCCTGGACAACAAAGGGGGGGGGGGGGGGGGGGGTCATTCAGTCATATCTGCCACTAGTTACATGTGATGGATATCAACCAAATAGACAGGGGTTTTCTCTGTGTACCAAAAAAGATTGCATGGCAGTCATGGAACTCGAAGGTGATTTCAGAGAAAAGATATCACATTCGAGCTGAAGTATTAACATTGTTTTGTCAGAAGCAGACATCCGCACGAAATCAATACACCCCCTTGACCGCACGCGAGGGTGTTACGCTAACCTTCATGGCAGGATTATACAAAAATATATTTTCTCCAACTATATTGACATTACCGAGTGAGAGTGACGTTTCCATTTTGTTAATTCGTGTATTTTCTTGTCATGTTTCCAGCTGAGAACATTTCTTTAATTTTGTAAACCCGGTCCTGTCGGACGATTTCACGGGTTGCATTATTGTTGTCATCTGATTTCTGACGTAGGTTTCCACCACAGAGTGAACACATAAAAGACTAAGTCTTTAGGAAATGAACAACTAAAAATGAAATCGTTCATATTAATTCATCGTTCCTTTGCCTTTTATTTTTGCGTAAACCTAACCTATAAATAAAATTAATGTCTGAAGAATAAATCTTATATTGTTTGAAATACATAAGATATTCCATAGGTTGTTTAAAAAATACAAGCAAGAAGACCTTAAATAAAAAACGCATATTCTAAATGACAAGTGCAAAATTGAAGAAAAATAAAAGTACAATTAAATAATTTCTTTCAGCATTGACCAGCCCAGGCAAACGATCAATATCTCATTTTAAGCCAGGACATCCCCCTGCAAATAGGACACGCTCTGACCTCAGCTTCTTGACAAGCTTTCATGATCTCTCCCGCCTCGTCCTCCAGTTTCTTCAGTTGCTCCGTGAATGCCGCCAAAGACTTGTCGTTGTCCTCCAGCCCGCTCTGCAAGCGAGTCACGCTGTCCGCGCACTTCTTCAGGTTGCTGCACAGACGCGACAGTAGTGGTCAACATGAAGTCAAACGGACGGTGGTCCGCGGTCTTCAGCGCAGAGAAGCGGTCATCACCGGTCTGCCGTCTTGATGGCAACTTTCGCTTTGGTGATGGTGGAGGAACATTCGTCGAGGCCTTTGTTGATGTTGTCCAGCTTGTCCTGCTGAGCCTTCAGCTTGTGGCTGTTGATTTCCACGATCAGGTTGTGGAGCCTCTTCACCTCGTTTTCCACCTTTCCCGCTTTACTGGACGCTGCTTCGAAGTCTGGAAATCAGAACGGTCATGTTTAGTCAGATACACGATCACAATCAATGGTCACGGCAAATTAGGGCCCAATCGATACGCTTATAACAATAATGCTACAAATTACAGGCACAATATTCAATGGTTTTACAATACATAGTGCTATAGTACTTCTCCAACTGTAGAACAGAGAAAAAGCGGCTGGGTTTTTTTGTTTTTATTTTTGGGGTGGTTGAATGTCATTAAAAAAAAAAAAAGCTAATATGGGCTGATTAAATCGGTCAGGCCCTCAGGCAAATATTTATCATATTCCAATCTGGCGGCCTGCAAAAAAGCTGTGTGATAAGTGAACAAGTATATAAACTAAAGAAAATAGGCCTTTCACTTCAAGTCATGATGTAAAGGTCCCATTTGGTATGGAAGCACCTTCGCGTCACACCAATACATTTTTTTCAAAGACACAAGTGAGATAACACTTTGTATTGATTTGACAAAAAAAAAATGTCCTCTAATTCCACAAAAACTCCAGAGCCCATATCTTTGCCTTTTTGCTATGATGACAACTTTGGTGTGAAAAGTATAAATTTTAGGTATCAAGGAGTCCAATAAAATAGTCTTCAAATATTTTGTACAGTTTTTTCTCCTGACAATTAAGACCTGACCATGCACATTTTGCAAATAATTGTATCAGAGTGACTCATGAATTCCTTAAAAAAACTATTTTAGCATCGTGTTTAGCGGCTCGTGCACTAATAAGGCAGCTTTGTATGCGAGAACTTACCGGTACGTGAATTGACCACCGAGACTAATACGCTTCAACTCAGCAAGCTGCGCAGAGACAGGCTTACTCAGCATCGAGGCTCTCTTGCCCGACAGGTTATGAGGGGATTGGCCAGGTGGTGAGCGGGCAGCGCCAAGACTGGACAACGCCGTGTCTGCAACCGGTATGTTGTCAAACATCTAACGTAATTATCTACCATCTATTTGTGTTCGTTTTTAAAAACTGTTTGCACATTTGATACATGGTTTTTTTTTGTTTTATTTTTAATATCCAGTACAATCAGTGTCATGAAGTGTAACAAGTTAGCCTACAATGATTCCCTCATAAAATACAATCAGTACTGCCTACATCATAAACTGAAGGGCTTGAGCAAATACGATCTAAATGGACCTACGGGGGACTTATTCAGACACTGCTCACTAAAGAACCGACATCTTGTTAACTGCCTCTTTCATGGAGCCCCGAAAAATAATAAAATGGAAAATTGGCAGGTCAGATGAGCAACTAGATCCTGCATGAATCAGCTTTTGCCTTTCAGAAAGAACCCAACAAAGGCGGGATATTGCCCTGACTGTGTATGCTTTCACACAGCTCCATGGCAAAATCCCACTGTCGGATAATAAGACTTCAGTGTTGATTGCTTTCAACATAACTGGGAGGACAAGCGAGCGTAAAATGTCACACCAACCCCCTTGACGGGATTCCCTTTTAATTAACAACAGCTAGCATCCCGCCTCATTGGAAAAACGGGCGACTGAAAAATGACAAATACATTAAGCTCGTTGAAAGGTGGCAGCACGTATGCCTCACAGTTCGAATCCCAGCCTTCCTGTGAGTCGTTGAGATGGGATCCAGCTCATCCGTGACCATAGTAAGCATAAGCAGCACGGCTGGCTATATGGAAGCTTGAAAGGAGTTTGCACGCACCTTTCTTGTAGACCTCCAGAGACTTCTCCATCTGCTTCTGTTTGGTCTTGTCCGGGGCAGCAGCCAGCACATTGGCCTCCAGTTCCTTCATCTGCACCTTGAGGTGGCTCTGCTGGTCAGCCAGACTCTGGAGGATATCAAGAGAGACTCTTGTTGGAGGAGACAGCGCCCGCTACGTTTGGGTAAGAGTATTGTGCTGCTTACGGTCATGCTGTTGACGTATTTTTCCAGAGTGTTTTTCATGTCGCGGAGCTGAGAGTGGAAACGCTGGACATTCTCCTCCAGCTGCAGCTTCCTCTCCTGGCAGCCCTGCAGCTTTGTCACGTTCTCGTTCAGCTTGATCTCCATGCGGTCGAGCTGCGGACATGCGCATGTCATTAGGTTCTACAACGGAACTTGGCCGGCAGATCACATCCGGTCCAGCCAACTGTTCCGTTTTTGTTTTTTTTAAATTAGAAAACAAAAACTTTATATGCAGTGGTTTTCTTTGGAAAACTATTTTTTAAAACTGACTCGCGATAATGCAGACGTACGTGATCCTGCTTTTTGTGTGACAAAACTATTTTTTGTTCATGTTTTTTTGTGCCACTGAAACGAATGATTGGCATTTCCATTCATTTAAATAGTAAGGGATGATTTGATGACTACATTCAAGTATTTTGTACATACCTCCACCTGGGAGACCTCAGTGTTGAGAGAGGAGCCCATCCTGCCCTTCATTACTCTTCCTCCTCCAGTCATTGTTCCTGCGGGGACACAGTTGCGCACACACGAGGAAGAGTGCCATCAGGAACATGATAAGTTGAGGTTTGGGAATGAAAGAGCAGGCCACACACCGGCCATCTCGATGATCTGGCCCTTGAGGGTGACCACTCTCCAGCGTTTTTCTCTCTGGAAGGCAATCTTCGTGGCTTGCTCCATGTCCCGGGCCACCAGGGTGTCCCTCAGGGCAAAATAGAAGGCCGGGCGCACGCTGGTGTCATTCACTCTCACCATGTCAAAGAGACGGGGGCTGTCCTCAGGGGTGCGGATCGGGCCCATGTTCTTTTCCCAAACCTTCATCTGATGGGAGAAAGGAGGTCAGAGCGAAAAGCCGTAGTTGAAGATTAAGCACGTTTACCTTGTCAAGACCAATGAAGGTGGCCACGCCGATGTTCTGCTGCTTGAGAAATGTGACACATTTCTGAGCCGTGTCGATGGTGTCCACCAGAATGTGATCCAGAGCGCCACAACTGGAGGAAATTGCCACGTCATACTTTTCATCAATGGCTCCCAGGTCTCCCTGCATAGCAATCACAATCAACATCTGGACATCAGAGTCACTGCAAACAAGTATTAGCAAAGTGTTTTGGGCTAAATCAGGTAATATGCAAGTTGAAGCCAGCCAAATTTAAAACTTTTGGTGAAGGCCACTTTAATCAAATTTAACAGCACTCGTTGACTAAATATAATCATTAGGAATGAGCAAAAAGGGCTCAATAATCGATAACATGGGTCTCAAACTTGCATCACTGGAACTGTTTACAACCCGCAAAATGATTATATTGCCACTCTTGACTTGACGTCACAGTTTAAAGTTGGCATGGCCCCCACCATTTTTTGTCAATGTCTTAGACATTTTTTTAAATCACTTATGAGATAGCATAGCTCAGGCTCATGACAGCTTTCCATGAAACGTAATTCTGAAATGACAACAAAGTGGAAGAAAGCCAGTCCCAGTCGTGTTTTTTTTTTAAAACCTGCCCTGAAGAGACGGGTGGTGATTAGAACAGCCACTTTGAAGAAAAACAGAAGAATTCTTTTTTTTTTTTGGTGAGCACGGAGGCACCCAGACTTGTCTTGAATGCATCAAGTAAGTTGAGATACTCATGAAATCAGATGCAGGGCTCAAAACTGCGACTATTATGCTACCGAATGCCCCCCGCCCCAATATGCGCTCGTAAAAATTTAATGCGGTCGCACAGCGTGGGTGCATGTTTTAAGGCTCCTACTGGTACACACAGCGAAGGTGCTCCAATTTTGTGTCCGTTTGTCAGACTGCCCACAGAAGGTGGAACGTGCGTCGGGTTAAATCTTTCCTGTATAAGTTTAATGAATGAATTTTCAGATGTGTACTTTGCCACTGCTTTAGAAAAACCAAAACTGATGGATACACCCAAGCTGTTTATTGCGTCTGTGGCATTTTCATGAGCTTTGAATGGTGCCTTTAAAGATTACATGTCATTTTCGAAGGATAATTGGCGCCTTCATTTTGAAACATTTCGTTCCGCAGACACCCTGCAAATGCTGAAACATCATTGTCTCCATGGAGGGCACCCAAGTACATCCCCAGCTAAGTGGCCAGACACAAAATCCTTACAGGAATTAAAGGTACACAGCATTTTTCCTTACCAGTCTTCCAAGAATACCAGGAATTCTGCCACTCTTCTTCTGCTGCATGAGAGCATCCAGGACCTTGCCCCGACTGCGGTTGGAGGACAGGGAGGTCTTGGCCTCGTCTACCTTCTGTCTCATTTCCCCCACGATCTGACGGGTTTCGTTATCCATCTTTGTCAGCTGCTCCAGCTCTGCCTCGTCCTGCAAAGGAAAACAGCCACTCCGGTATGTCTTTCTGTCACTACATACAGTAAAGCAAACCCTTATAACGGTTGATTCACCTTCCTGAATTCTTTCTCCGTCTTCGGTATGTTGACTTCCAGTTCTTTAATAGCGGCACGGCGCTCCTGCAGCGTGTCCGACGTGGTCTGAAGGGCTTGTTTGGCCGAGTTGAGCTGTGTTACGGCCGTGTTGTGGCGGCTCAGGTAGATGTCGATCTCAGACTGCGCCAGGTCCATACGAGAACGCGTCTCGTTCACGTCTTTACTCAGCTCCATCAACTTTTGCTCTTTGGCCTGATGATAGGAAGCATAGAGATGAGGTTTATGACACAGGTAAAACGTTTTCCCCAAAGGACTTCCTGTGTTCCTCATTATCTTGCACCCATCATTTGCTTTCCGGCTGTATCGCAGAATTTTAAGCCGTTGTTTTTACACTATACAGGCAAGTTTCATCTATGGTGCTTTACTTTATATTTTATCGTTGAGCTAGTAGCCTTTTGTTCGACAAAATGATATGGTTTCGTTGAACATTTGTGTTTTAATATACAGTGCTTGATTCTTCGGTTTTCTGTGTGTCAATTTTAGAGTAAACTCCAACAGAAGGAGCGAAAAAAAAAACACGCTTTGAGAACAGGAGTACTTGAAAAGTAATTTTTTTAAAAAATCAGTCTAAATGTATCTCAAGCGTGAGGGAAGGGTAAACTAATTTGTAAAAATGTAGCATGGTTTCTCTGTCTCACAAATCTAAACCTTTCGCATGTGAATCTAGAATGCATCTCCGCTATGAACGGGTAAAAA